TACACAGTATGCAAGGGTATGCCTGGAGGGTGAGGGTGTGAGCAGACACGTGCCCTTGCAATCACGGGTAAACGCACAAGTGTGTGCATGTGAGGCTTGTGTGTCAGTGCCTGAGGATGTGTGTGCAAATGTGCAGGGGTGTGTGTGGAAGGGGGTGTGTGAGGGCAAAAGTGTGCAGGTGAGAGGCGAGGGCGTTGTGTGTGCGCGTGTGAGTGCGTGGGTGTGAGGTGCTGCGCGTGTGCAGAGCCACCTCCAGGACGACGGGGGCCCCAGAGCCTTTGCACACACACAGGGCACGGCGGGGTCTCAGCTGTGCGGAATTTGTGTTTCGTGTGTGTGTTTGCAGTTGAGAGCAACGCCAGGCCTTCTGAGGAGTTGACACATGGCCACAATGTCTCCATTCTTGTTTTTCTTGGCTGCTTTCTAACTGGGTCTTTTATTTTGGGAAGCTCTAACTTTTTGGGGTTTTGTTTTGTTTCCCTTTTCAAGACAGAATCTCACTACGCAGTTCAGCTGTCCTTGAACTCACTTTGCAGCCGAGGCTGGTCTTGAACTCGCAGCAATCCTCCTGCCTCAGCCTCCCAAGGGCTGGGCTTACCGACATGCATCACCAGGCCTGGCTTGAGTTCTTTATATGTTCTAAATATTGGTCCTCTGAGGGAGTCGGGAGTTGGTTTTCCCAGGAAAGGGCAGCCCCGGCGTTCGTGTTCCTGTCTCCTAGATTTGTGCTCGGAAGCCCTTGCCCATCAGAACGTGGCTGGGTCTGAGACAAGGGCTTAAAGGAGGAGATTAAAGCCAGGTGTGGTGACCTATGCCTGCAACCGAGGAGACTGAGGCAGGAGGATTGCCACGGCCAGCCTGAGCTATGCAGTGAAAACAAAAAGAAAAGAAAAAAGAAAAAGATCTAGAAAGAAGTTGAGGTAAAATAAGGTGTCTGGCATGAGCCTGGGCCAGCATGACCAGGTCCTGGAGGAAAGGCCCAGAACCAGACCTCAGGCACCTGGGTAATGCCCAGGGCTACAGTGAAGCCTTACAGGGGCTGCCCTGTCAGAGGTTAGGACGCTGATGCCCAAGGGCAAGGCGATGCCCCCGGCTGACAACCGGTCACCCCAGTGTCCCTCTGCCTATGGCCACATCAGCCCAGATCTGCCTCCACTGCCCCACCCGTGGGCCCCGGTTGCTTTCAGGGCCTCCCTCATACAGGACAATCACCTCGGCTCCATCGGCAAAGACCCCATTTCCAAACAAGGTCACAGTCCGAGGTTCCAGCTGGACACATCTCCCGGGAGCTGCGCCCGAACCCCCTCCATGGACCCCTAGATCGTGGTTCTTTCCTATGCCAGTGACCACGGAGATCTCTGAGGGCTGGGATGCAGGACGGTCGCCTGGGAGTCCCGGCCTGGTCCAGAAACCAGGAAAGGTGGCCCACAGGGGGCAGGGACAGGTGGGGAGACCCAAGAAAGGTTTGGGGTAACACTCTCAAAATACAGGAAGAGACTGATGCATCCCCTGCTCCACATCCTGCTCTGTTCCACGCTGCCACACACAGTCCCAGGTCCCCTGGTCCCCAGGGTTCCCGGACCTCTGACTGTTCCACCCACCTCCGTGGTCCCAGCCAGGACCACAGACCCGTGAGACACTAGGGCAGAGCCTGGTCTCCCGCTGAATGTGACCCCCAACTCCCTACTGTGCCTCAGGCCAGTCTTGTGGGCCGCCCACAGACAGGACCCCACCCGACACACGAACTCGGGCCTCGGCTCAAATCCCAGTACCTCGTATTTGTTAAGCATTTACTAAGTGCCTGGCACTACGCATATCACTGGTCATCATCCCATTCTCCAAACACTCCTAAGTAGGTCACGTAGGTCCAGATGAGGGAACCGAGGCTCAGAGAGGCCCACGGCTTGCCCCAGGAAGGAGCAGGTACCAACCTCCAGGCAGGTGCTCCGCCACCGTGGGGAAGGGAGGACCTCAGAGGAGGGGAGGTGCTAGGCTGCTTCTCGCTGGCAGGCAGATGTCCCCAGCCCAGCTGCCAGGGTGGTGGCCAGAATCAGTCAGGATTGGGAGGCAGGCCCAGCTGGGCCTCCCTCCAGGGTGGGGTTCTCTGGCTCCTCAGTCCCTGGGATAGGATGGGTCCCACATGCACCATATCTGAGTCCAGGGCACCTCCGAGCCTCTGTCTCCTCCTCCACCAGCTCCTCACTTTGGGACTGGGGCGCCGTCCCTGAGGTGGTCCAGGACAGTTTCTCCTGAGTCTCAGAGGCCGCTGGGGCCTGGAGACCTTGAAGAGAAATGCTGTCCTCCCCTAGCCACAGACAAGGAGGAGGCCAGACAGCACCTGTGGTCAGGGCCACCTCAGAGCCACACCAGGGGGACGTCCCCAAGGTGACCAAGCCACCAGCAGGCACCCCTTCACTGAGGACCCAACCTCATGTGACTGTCACCAGCCACACAGCCTGGGCTTCCCCTCGGGACTTCCTGTGCACCTCAGCCGTCCACCGCCAGCACTGGTCACCACGGGCCCTCCCCGATGACAGAGCCCTCGAGGCAATGAAACCCAAGAGGCCTTGTGCCTGGACGTCCCCCAGGGGCCAGAGCCCCTGTCCCTTCACCTCCTGGGGAAGACAGGAGGAGTAAGTGTGACCCAGGGGACACTGACAGGATGGCAAACGGGGTGCCCAAGGTCCACTGTCAGGATGGGGCAGAGCTGGGGACCCTAACACCCCACGGTGCCCTCCGTGGGTTACCTCCCCACAGCAGGTCTACAGCCAAGGTCCCAGCAGAACTCGATGGAGCAAAGTGAGATCAATTCTCAGAGCACTGGAACGCAGGGTTCCATGGGCATATGGCAAAGTCAGTCTGGAAAAGGCAGTGATTTCTGTCCTCTGAGGCCAGACATGCTTTACCCCCACAGAAGGCACCCCAGAGGCCGCCTGCCTTTGGGAGACCTTCAGGAAGCCTCCCGGCCTGTGGCTTCCCTTCAACCCCTCTCCATACACCTGTCACCTGCGCTCAGCACCGGGCCTGCAGCTGCTGACAGACGGAGCATGATTCCAGGAGCTGCTAGCTCCCCTGGGAGCCGCACAACTGCAAACCCCAGCCCGTGCACTTGGTCCCGTGCTGTCGCGCCTCTGTCCTCCCATGGATGGGACTCCCTGCCTCCACTGGTAATAACACTTCTAAGCTGGGCACGGTGGCACATGCCCGTAACCCCAGGTTGAGGCAGGAGGCTCCCCAGAAGTTCTAGGCTGAACCTGGGCTGGGTAGTGAGTTCAAGTCCAGCCTGGACTACACAGCAAGATCCTGTCTCAAAAAAAATCCTACCAATACTTCTTCCACATGGAGTGTCGCATGTACCACACTGTGTTTGGCCCTTGGGTTAGACAGATGCCACCGACCTGGACCTGCGCTCAGCAAGCTCCCAGCCGTAGGGAAGGAAAGCCAGGGTGAGCAGAGCAGATGCCAGCTCTCGATGCCTTCTGTAGTTCTGCAGGATTAGGAGGCCACTGAGGATCGGACACAGATTCTGACATCTAAGTAGGAGTTCGGGAAAGCTTCTGGGCAGAGAAGACGGTAAGGATTCTGAGGCTGGGGGAGCAACCTGAAGGTTTAAGGGCAGGAAGTGGGCTGGGGTGTCGCTGAGGGGCAGAACACCTGCCTGGGACAAGCTTGGCCCCCTGGGTTTGATGCTTAGCAACACAAGCGCACACGCATGCACATACACAGAAGAGGAGGAGGAGGTGGAGGAGGAGAAGCAGAAGAGGCAGGAGGCTTTGTCAGGGAAGGGACAGGACTGGGACAGGGAAGTGGTGCTCAGTTCCTGGACTGCAGGTGGCACCACCACGCCCAGCGGGCTGTGGCTTCCTGCTCACAGAATAGCTGGACGATGAGGGCCGGAAGCCTTCCGGACTACCCAGAGCAGCGCTTCCTATCGAAAACACTCGCCAGACGATTTCGGGAGCCCAGGAGCGCCTTCCAGCCTGGACCTCCTGGGAGGGAAACGCTCCCACCAGGCTTGGGCCTCCGACTGATCTTCTGGGTCTCTGGGATGCCAGCCGGACCTGGAAGCTGACCTCGGCTTTGAACATCCTTGGGGTTCAGACGCGGAGAGGCGTCTAGATTCTCTTCTCCCGTGGGCCAAAGACTTTCTCAGGAAAACCACTGACCCAAAGTTCTTTGGCTTAAAATCACTCGTGGTACTCGTGGGCAGAGGCGATGGACCTCAGGGAGGCAGCACAGAGGATGACTTTGCTCCAAGGTCCCACAGGTCCTTGGGGTGCTGACCCCTGCTGGTCCATGTGACTGCTTCTGCCAATGAACTGTCACGGATGGGACTGGCACTGGACCACTCAGCAGAGCGGGGGCCCAGATGACCCATGAGCGTCACACTGTTCACCCTCATATGCAGACAAGGTAGGGACACACAGAGCTGCTTCCCAATCTGGGAGGTGACATCCGGGCTCCGCCAAACCTGTCTCCAATACACCGCATGGTCCTCAGTTTCCCTACCTGTCCCTACCGGGGTTCGGATCAGCATGGTTCCCAGCACTTACCAAGAGATGGGCGTGTGGGAGCCTCTGGCCCAGGGACCTCAGGAAGATGGACCTTGCCTTCAGGGACCAAGTGGAGGCTTAAACCTCCTTTAAGGCCCACTTTGCAAGAACTTTTTATTTTTATTTTCCCTGCAGTACAGAGCCTTCACACTGAGCTACATCCCCAGAGCATTTCTTTATTTGAAACAAGATCTTATTAAGTCACTAAGTTATCCAGGAGGCTGGGCTTAAACTTGGAATCCTCCTGCCTCAGCCTCCCTGAGGGCTGGGAGTACAGGCCTATACCACCACACTCAGCCCCTAGCTACTGCTTTATAAAGCTGGCCTTGGCCTGGTCTGTCTTGGGGACCTTCACTGTGTGGCAGGGACAAATGCCAGCACCCAGGCGGCCCAGATCCATCCCAGGAAAGGGGCAGAGGCGGAGGCCATGGTAAGCACAGGCAGGAATGGAAGCTAAACTTTATTACAAACATCACAAAAGCCTTCCCCCGCCAAGTACCCACTCCCGGGACCCCCAGGTGGGCAGCGGTACTGCGATCCCGGTGCTCAGTCCTCAGGGCTTTACTGTGGGGCCCGTGGAACCTGCGGCTCTGACCACATCGATGAGGAGCTCGGGGCCTGCCCTGGTAAGGCCTGGAGGGGATGGGAAATGTCAGGGGGTCCAGGTCCAGCCCAGCCCCTGCTGTACCTTGAGAGGCAAGGTCAGCTTCCAGGGTAGGATGGAGCGGGCGGGGAGTGGGGAGAGGGTCCGGGGGACACCTTGTTGGGTTGGGGACAGGGCTTTGTACCCTCAACCCCATCCTGCTCCCAGGGGACCCTGCCGTCCCCAACCATACCAGGCGGGAAAGGCTGGCATCCGACAGCTTCTGGCTCTGGGCCTCAGAGATGGAGGACCAGAGGTCAAGGCTCCTGGGGGCTGAGCTCTTCTCGGGCTTTGGAGGGACGATGTCCCAGCCCAGCAGACAGTGCTGCAGGGAGCACAGGGTCAGGGGCGCCAGCCCTGGGGACTCCCTTCATGGGGGGGCCACCCCAGCTCAGGATGGAGGGGCCCCCTAAGCAACCGCAAGCCCTGGGGCAGGAGCTACCCATGGCCTCTCCGGGCCCCCTCTTCCCAGTTCTTCCTGTCCCAGAGCTGGGACGGGGCAAAGGGAAGCAGGAGAGGACCCGTTACCTGAGCACCCGACACCCCAGGGCGACACCTTCTTTCCACACAACCCCGGCTGCCGCCTCTCAATGGGGAGTGGGGGGAGGTCACCCTGACCCCCACACTATCCAGGAAGTGGTGGTCCCAAGGCTGTGCACACAGCACCCAAGACCCTGTGACAAAGCCACCTGAGGGTGCCAGGGTGCAGCAGGCAGCCATCCTGGAAGCTGAGGCGGATGCACCCCCACCCAGGGACCAGGCCCAGCACGGGTGAGGCTGAGCATCCATCCTCGGGGACTCTGTGTCCTCCCAAGTGTCTCTGGCCCTGCCAAGTCCCCGCCCAGACCCTGGGGCCGCTCACCCGGGGCAGGGCCAGCGTGTCGGAGGTGTCGAAGCTCTTGCGCCGTTGGACACAGTACTGGTGCGGGGGATCCAGGACGGACAGCGGGAGACTCACCCTGCACAGGGGTGCACTGAGGCACAGCCCACCTCCGCCGCCCTGGGCTGCCCCCACCCCGTGGCTGCCCCCAGGGAGCCCCAGGGTCCCACTCAACACTCACTGGACCTGTGCAGGTTCTGCCAGGGTCTCGGGCCCCTGCTGGTCCCTCGGGGTCCCACACAAGCGGCAGGGGATGCCGGGGTCTGAGGGCTCCAGAAACAGGCGCCGGTTGACACGATAGGAATACACACCTGAGGAGCCACGACAGCAGCGGGTCCCCTGAGCCAGGGTGCCCGGCTCTCCTCAAGCACACGGGTGCCAAGCCCTCTGGGAAGCGAGGCCAGGGCCAGCACACAGGGAGGACCCCATTCCCACAAAGCCCCTAAGGATGCAGGATCCCACAGAGATCACTCACACTTGTGATCCTTCTCCACGTCCTCGCCCTCTTGTGGGCCTCGGAGGCGGGGCCTGCAGGGACAGAGGATGAGGGGCGGGGCCTGGGTGCCTGGGCACTGGGTCCCTGGCCCCCTCTCCTTCCCCAGCTCACTCGTGGGGATTGTGGATGCACTCCGCGCGGTGGGCCTCTCGGAACTCCTGCAGCTCAGAGAAGAAGGCCTCGGGCTTGCTGCTGATGGGCGAGCTGCTGTCCAGGGTCCCTGGTGCGGGCGAGGGAGGGCAGAGCATCGAGTGCTGAAGCCAGGGGCCAGGGCCTGGCTGACCCTTAGGGACAGGCAGCCCCAGATCCCAGCCCGCTGCATCCCACAGACCAGCAAGGGACCGTCCTGCGCTGTGACTGTGAACTGTCTCCCACCCTGCAGCACACTGACTGCCCCGTGGGTGGAAGGCTGGAGCCTGACCCTGGCTGGACTGGCTGTACACGCGGGGAAAGCGCATGGAGCTGCCCCCACCCCACGAGATTCCAAAACCCATGATGGATGCAGTCACCAGCGCAATCCATAACAGTGTCACCCGCCAGGCCACAAGAGCGTGGGGCCAGGCAGACGACACTGGTAATCTACAGTGCCAGGAGAAACCTGACAGCTAAGCAGAAACCTGATGAGCCCATGTTCAACCCCAGGAAGGGCACTGCAGATGGGTGGCAAAAGCAGGTGCAAAGGCCCTGGGGTGAGAGTATGCTTGGTGTTTGGACAACACCAGGAGCCCAGGAGGGGGAATGGCTGGGACTGAGGGGTGAGGTGGATGTGATGGGGTTAGGAACCCCATCAAGGGTTCGGGGACAAGGAGTGACACAATCAAATCATCCAGAAATGTCCTCAGGATTCCACCTCTTCTGACTGCTGTTAGGTGACGGGAAGGAGAGGCACTGAGCAGACCAGCACAGGCACCCATGTGGGAAGCAGCTAGTGCCAGAAAGGCACTAAAAGATGTGTGACAGAAGGCACAGAGGGATCGAACAAGTGGGGACCAGCCAGCATGGTGGGGTACACGCCTGTGACCCCCACACTCAGGAGGCTGAGCCAGGAAGATCATCATGAGTCCAAGGCCAGCCTGAGCTACATAGTGAGACCCTGTCTCAAAAAAATGATATAAATCAACAGGGACCAAAAAGGAGGGCGAGGCACACAGCCTGTTTCAGCCTCTGCCACACGGAGACCCAAATGGCACTAAGGGCGTAGTTCACTTATTCATTCAACAACTGTTTGCCGAGGGCCTCAGGGCTGGGGAACATGACAAAGACAAGATGGCCAGCTCTCTGCTCCACTCTCCCAGAAGAGGATGAGAAGCAAGAAGTTCTAAGAATGTCTGTCCAAAAGGCAGTTTCTGGGAATGCTGTGAAGAAATAAAACCTGGCTGACATCACAGGCAGTGGTGGGGGGTGGTGGCCCTGTGACACGGCTCAGAGGAGACCTGGTGTGGAAGCCTTACATGACAACCAGGACCTGAGCTGGGGTAGTGCACACCAGACAGACAACCCAGCAAGTGAAAAGGTACTGAGGTGGCCACATGAATGTCAGACACAAACATCAACAAGGCCAGGGAGGCCAGAACAGAGTGGGGCAGCAGGTACCTGAGGTCAGGATGCAGGGACAGCAGAAGCCAGCCCTTGCCTCATGCCTGGACAGGACGCTAGGGTTTACAGTAAGTGTCGGATATCTCTGAGGAAACGAGCAATGGACAGACCTGATCTGACCAGCACATTTAAAAACCTTCACAGAACTGGGCGTGGTGGCTCACGCCTATGATCCCAGCACTTGGGAGGCTGAGGCAGGAGGATCACTGAAAACTCGAGACCAGCCTGGGCTACAAAGTGAGCTCAAGGTGGAAGGCCGGCCTGAAGTGCACAGCAAAACCCTGATTCAAAAAGACAAAAAGAAAGGTGCCAAATTAAAAAGACAGACATATGTCTCCCTCCATCAACAGCAAGTAAATGAAAGGATCCTGTGAGGCTCACAGCAGAGGAGACCGGACCCGGCCACGTCTCGGACAGCCTGGGAGCCCCACACCAGTGGCCAGAGTCAGGGGCAGACAACTCTGTGCGAGCCCGCTTCTCAGCACTGCCGTGGGGGGCCACTGCCAGACAGAGGGGAGCGGAGGCCCAGCTGGAGCTGGGCAGCTGCTGCTTCCAGGGCCCAGGTGCCAGCTCTGTCCCAGTCTGGGAAGGGACAGCGCCATGGCAGCACAGCAGCTGGCGCACCTTCTATTCATTCTGCTGTGGAGACAGGGTCTCGCCACGTAGCCCAGGCTGGCCTTGAACTCACAGCAGTCCTCCTGCCTCAGCCTCCTGAGTGCAGGGATTACAGGGGTGCACCGCCATACTTGGTGACCGGCTCCTGTGTATACTTTAACTCACAAAACAGATACTAAGGAGGCGGGAGGTGCCCAGGGAGACCAGCCAGGAAAGCACGGAGGCCTCTGGGGGAGCCGGGCCCATCCAGAGTTGTGGAGGGGACCTGGCAGGAACCGACCACCCCAAAACACGGCAGCTCTGACTCCTGCATGTCCAGATGCGGAGGGCAGAGCCGGGCCAGGGGATCACCTCCATCACCTCCACCTCCCGGCCAACACCCCCGGCGCACACTCACCTGCGATCCAGTCGTAGCCCAGGTACGGCCGGAGGCGCCAGCTGCTCTCGGGCACTGTGGACTCCTTAAAGGTCACTGTGGGCTGAGGAGACAGGCCAAGGGGCTAGGTCTTTTCCTTTGTCACAGTACTGGGGTTTGAACCCAGGGCCTCTGCACTGAGCACCCTTTTTAATTCTGAGACAGTATCCCCTAAATTGCCCAGGCTGAGTTTGATCTTGGGATCCTCCTGCCTCGAGCTCCCTTGGTGCTGGCACTGCAGCTGGGCACTCTCACACCTGCAACCACAGCCAGCCAGGGGCTGAGTCTTTTTGAGACGGTCTCGCTATACAGTTCAGTCAGACTGGCCTTGAGCTCACTTTGCAGCCCAGGCTGGTCTTGAACTCTCAATGATCCTCCTGCCTCAGCCTCCCAAGTGCTGGGATTATAGGTATGCACCACATGCCTGGCTTAGGGGGCTGAGTCTTAAAGCACACCCTGATTCGGACCCTGGAGTGTTTAGCCTCATTTTACTTGTGATTTTGAACAAGTCTGAGCTCTGAGCCTCAGCCTTCCCATCTGTACAATGAGCTCTGAGTTTGTCCCCTTCTTCCCAAATAGCTGTCTGAAAAACTAACCGCAATCACTTCTAAAGCACTAGGCTGCACCCAGAAGCTTTTCTCTTTGTTTTTTTTTTTTTTTTTTTTTTTTTTTTTTTTGGTAGCAGGTATCGAATTCACCACCTTGACCTTAGGAGGCAGGCACTCGAGCTGCTGACCTAAACCCCCAGGCTCCAGAAGCCTCTCACTGCACCCAGGGCCTGCCCCTGAGCACATCTGTTAGCCAGGGAAACTGAGACCCAAGGAGGCCTATCTGTGGGTGCCCGGCTCTCCCATGTTACCTTGCACATCCTGCTCTGCTGGGCCAGGACGGACTTTGGAGCCTGGGCCTCCTGCGGCCCCGGTTCACCCTGATCGGCAGATGGCTCCTGCGGGTCACTGGTGTCCAGCAAGGGTGGCGAGCAAGGCCTCAGCAGCTCTGGGGCCTCGGGGAATTGGCACTTGGCAGGAGGCAGAGAGGACACCCTGGAGTGGACCGGGCCGAGCCAGGCTGTATTAAAGGGGTCACCGGGGTGGGTGTCTGGGGGCTCCCACACGCACTGCTCGTCCTGAGCGCAGGAGGTGCTCGAGGAGGCTAGGGACGTTTCCGAGGACCATGGTGTCTCTGAGTCCTCACTGCTGTTGCTTCTTGAGTCCATGCTTGACTGTAGAAGAAGGTGCGGGTCACCCAAGGGTGCCAGCCAGGGCCTCCTTACCAGGCTTAGGTGCCATGCCTCTGCAGAACCACAGTGTCCCAGCCTGGTTCCCTCCCTCCCCAGGCCTCAGTTTTGCATCCTCAGTAAAATAGGCAGGCGGGACAAGGTGACCCCACAGGCCTAGGCACCGTCCTGTGCACTAGACAGCCCCTTGCTCTCCAAGGGCACCCACCTGGGAGGCTGCCCGGGCCACTGACCGCTGGATGGCAGCCTGCCCAGCCCGCAGCCGCCTCAGGAGGGCCAGGTTGTACAGCCGGAGCTGCGTGAGGTCTTCGGTCTCCACCATCCTGGGCGACTCTGCCTGAGGTTAAAACAGTGTGACATAGGCTGAGAAACCCTGGATCCATAACCCCGCCCCCACGGCCCTTAACTGTGACATCTCAGGCCAGTTCTTCAGCCTCTCTGAACCTCATTCCTCAGCTGCTAATGTGCAACAGTACCGACCTTGCTGAGCTGTCCTTGGGGGTACAGGACAACATTCAGCACAGTTACTCCAGCAGGCACTGAGTAGACCTCTATTTCTCATTTTCTTTCTTCTTGATTGAAACAGGGTCTTGCTTTGTAGTTCAAACTGGCCTTGAACTCACTATGCAGCCCAGGGTGGCCTTCAGACTCACAGAGTGCTTGATCCTCCTGCCTCAGCCTCCTGAGCACTGGGATTACAGGTGTGTGCCACCATGCTCAGCTACACATCTATTACTCTTAAGAGTTTCAGGCTGTGCTACTCTATCTGCTAAAAGAGCCTGGTGCCCCCTTCATAGCCTTGAGTGGGAACCAGCTTAGTTTAATTTGCAGAAAGAAAATCGCCCAAGTCTGCAAATACAAAGCTTCATTTTTTTTTTTTTTTTTCCAAACACAAGGTCTATAACTTGTGAATTCAACTTCGGAAGGGCTTCTCCGGCTCTTTCCTGTGCTCCCCTTGCTGCCCTCTGAGCTTTTGTTTTGGTTTGGTTGCTTGGTGCTGGGGATTGAGCCCAGGGCCTGGAGCAAGCTGGGGGTGCACTCTACCATTGAGCCACACCCCCAGTCCGTTCCCTTTCTTTTCAGGCATGAAGTGCAAAGCTCAGAGAAGTTAAACAATGTCTCCTGAGTTACACAGCTACTCAGGAGTAAAGCCAAGATTGGGACCAAAATCTGGGTCCAGGGAACAGGGTCAGAAGGATTTTCCATAGCAGGGTGGAGAGGGGCCTGGAAAATAATAACCTCCCCCTCCTGCCACAGCGGCCGGGCTGGGGGACACAATCGCCTGTGGAAGCGATTTCTGTAAAAATCAACCATCCCGCCCTGACAGCCCTCACACCCAACCTCACCTGGCACAGCCACCCGGGCCCCTCCCTCAGCCCCTGCAGCAGACCAGTGGCCTGCAACGAGCCCCGCAAAGCGCCGCAGAGTGCGGGGTGCAAAGTGAGTGCGGGCTGCGGGAATGGAGACGCGTTCACAGGAGTCCAGGGGTGCAGACCCGAGGGACAAACGCCAGGACGGGGTCTGGGTCGCCCTTCACCTAGTCTGGTGCTGCTGGGCCGCGCTGCAGCAGCGTGAGGTCTCCGTTTCCGCTGCTGGATTCCGGCCGTCCCTAGAAGGCTGAAAAAACAAAGAATCCAAATGAGGGGGTCACAGCAGTAACGGAGCCAGGGCGGGGGTCACCGAGGTGCGACCCGGGGAACCGCAGGCGGCCGCCCCCATCCCACCGCTGTCCCGAGCCACCCAGCGCGGAGACACACGTGGCCCGCCTACTGACCGCCCCCTCGTCCACGGCAGAGACGCTCACCGGCGACTGACCCGGGCCCATCAGCCGCAGCTGCCGCCCCGCGCAGCACCGGGTTCAGCCCAGTCCAGCCCCGCTCAGCGCCGCGCCGGCCGGGGGCGGGGCCTCCGATGGCTATTCTGATTGGCCAGGGAAGGGGCGGGACCCTGACACCCTTCCTGCGTTACTCTGTGTTCCAAAGCGGCAGTTTCAACCTGAGGGCGGGACTAATGAAGATATCAAAGTTAATTGGTTAACTGCTGTTGCCGAGGGAATGGCGCGGAACCCGGAAGCGGGCCTCCGATTGGTCAGAAGCGGGGCCAAAACGCATTTAGCGGCGGCAGTTTCAGCGTCTGGAAAGGGAAACGAAGCAGAGTAAAATAAGAACCTAGAAACCCTTGATACAGTCTGTAAATTGTAAAGAAACTCAAATTGAGTGCCACGCATATGCCAGGTATTTGAGCCAGATTTTTTCCCTATGCCAGTGCACTCTGGCCTCATAAATATGTGTGGAGCTATTTTTGTCCCATTTTATAGAGAAACAAAACTTCATGAGATCATGAGATGAAGGAACGTGTGAGAACAGTTTGAAATAAGTATGCTTCACTGTAGTAACAGGATATAGATGGGTAATCACTAAATGGATAAAACAAATGCAGAAAAATCCACAAATGCTGTCCCTTTTTCTTAGTAGTTGGAAATGAAAGTGCCGCGGCTGTCTTCAATCATAAAAGAGGCGTTCTAGCATTTGACAGACTCTAACATTCATTTCTGATTTAAAAAAAAAAAAAAACTTCCAACGTCCGGAGATGTGTGTACCTGTGATCCCAGGTACAGTACTTGGGAAGCTGAGGCAGGAAGATTCTGAATTGGAAGCCACCCTGGGCAATTTAGCAACATCTTATCTTCAAATAAGAAATAAAAAGGGCTGGGAATATAACACAGCTCTACAGTACTTGCCTAACATGCAGGAGGTCCTGGATTCAACCTTGCTCCACAAATAAGTTAAAAATAAAAAACCAAAACCTTTGAACAAACCAAAACTGGAAGGGAACTTGTTCATCCTGATAAAAAAGAGTCTATAAAATACCTAAAGGCAGCAGTATTTCCCATAATAAAATCCTGAATGCTTTCCTAAGATTAGGAACAAGCAAAGATGTCTGCTTCCAGCACTTCACCTGGAATCTTAGCCAGTGCACTGGGGAAAGAAAATGCATTTAGGCTGGAGCGGAAAAAGGAAAACTGTCTTTATCAGCTGTAACACAGAAAACGCATAGAATTTACCAAACATTTACAGTACTAGAATTGTCAATAAATTTTAGAAGTTTGCAGGATATAAGCTCAATATACACAAATAAAATGCTAATTGAAATTTTTACAATGTCATTTAGAAAGGCATCAAGAAATAATGGCAATGTACTTAGGAAAGATGCTCACAAGAGGCACAAGACTTCCTATTAAAACTTACCAAAATTTTGAAAGAAAGGGCTTTTTTTGTCTTTTTGAGACAGGGTCTCTCTATGCAGGTCAGGCTGGCCTTGAGCTCACTTTGTAGCCCAGGCTGATCTTAAACTCACAGCAATCCTCCTCCCTCAGCCTCCCAAGTGCTGGGATTGCAGGCATGAGCCACCACGCCCGGCTCAGGGCTTTTTGTGTTTTGACACAGTGTCTCACTATAGTTCAGCTTGTCCTTAAGTTCACTATAAAGCCCATATGTGGCCTCAAATTTGTGGTGATTCTCCTGCCTCAGCCCAAATCCTGGAGTTACAAGTGTGCACCACTACGCCCAGTTTAGTTCCTGTGTAAAGGTTGTTGTTTTGAGACAGGGTCTGACTGTGTAGTTTAGGCTGGCCTTGAACTCACAATGTAGTGCTCACTATGTAAACTCACTCTGTGACCTCAAAGTGATGGAGATCTTCCTGCCTCAGCCTCCTGAGTCTTGGGATTACAGGTATTTTCCACCATGCCCAGCTTCTGTGTGAAGGTCTTACACATTGCTCACTGGCTTTCCTGAATTTATTGCATTACCCAAGATTTCCCATGTGTTCCCAATGTGTATTGTAATGGCTTTTAAAACATTCCTTTATGCTGGGGAAAAGAAATGTGCAGAAAACTCAGAACAAATTGCCCTGAGATGAAAGTTGGCTGGGGATATAGCTCAGTGGCACAAGCACCCACCTGAGAAGTGCAAAGTCATGAGCTCAATCCCTGGTAAACAACAACAAAAAACTTTCGATCCTCCAGCCTCAGACTCCCAGAGCACTGAGATTACAGACTTGCACAGCTCAAAGAACTCTTAAAGCTCACAACAACCTAAGCTTTTAAATGAGCAAAACAGCTGAATGTCTAGGAGACCCTCACCAAGAAAGAGATACAGATGCCAAATAAACACAGTAAAATGTGCTCAGCATCATCCGTCTCTCACTCCCCAAGGCCGGCCAGCGACACCAACACACGGCACCCTTGCCCACCTTGGGCGCCTCCGGGACCAGCTTCTGTCCCAGCTGCCTTCCACCAGGCCTCTCCTGCCCTCCACCCGCAGTGAGGAGCCAGCAGAAGTGTACTTAGCTCTAGGATTACAACGGTAGGGCTGGGAGTGTGGTAATATGCTTCATATGAGCAAGGCCCTGGGTTCAGTCTCAGCACCAAAAAACAGAAGCATGTTGTGTAAAATATAACTCAGTGCTGGTGAGGACAGGAAATACTGACATCCACAGGTGCTGCTGGCAGAAATGTAAAAGGGTGCGAGGAATTTTAAAAACAGGTTAAAGTACCTTCAAAAGTTACATAGTGCCAGGCATTTAGCTCAGTGGCATAAATGCCTGCCTGGCAAGCATAAGGTTGTGAGTTCGATCCCTGGTTAAGAAAAAAAAAAGTTCCATAGCAGGGCATGCTGGTGCACGGCTGTCATCCCAGCACTCCGGAGGCAGAGGCAGGAGGATTGCTGTGAGTTTGAAGCCAGCCTGGGCAACCCGAACTACATAAGGAGACCCTGTCTTGAAAAACAAACAAGCCTGGTTTTTGTGTTTTCCCGCCATAGTTACACACCCACAACATGATCCAGCCATTCTAACAGCTCAGCATTTGCCTAAGGGTGGAAACTGTCCCCAGGAACACTTGCAGACATGTTAACAGCAGCTTCTGTGCGAATCCCAGCACCTATCAAGTGGCAAAGGGATGAACACATCGTGGTGTCTTAAATGGCCTTGGGGCCGGGGCCTGACGGCCACTCCATCACACCGTGCTCTGCCTGGTTTGTGGCCATCACCTCCTGCCTTCATCTGCACCCCGTCATCCACCACCGCACAGCAGCCAGGACCCCGAGAGATGCACACAGCTTACACACCCCTCCACTCATGTTCGCCAGCCCGAAGGCTGTGCAAGTCTGTCCCTGTCCCGGGGTCCTTCTTGAGCACTTGAAGATGCAGCAGGCTCCTGTCCCTGCCCAGGTGCACTATATCCTCGAAACTTTCTCCAGCAAAGCCACAGCCCAGCCACACCTCCCCGTGTCCCTGCAGCCCCAATCTCCTGGCCCCTTGCCCGTCTTTGCCTTTCTCGGCTTTCCACAGCAGCAGAGCAGCTTCACATAGAGGCAGGGCTTTCCAGCTGCTCCTGCACGGCTGTACCCACCATGCCGGCAGCGGTGCAGGGCACAGGTGGGCGTCTGGCTGGTTTGCTGAATTAGTGAACTTCATTTGTGCAAAGGGGAAAAAGGTCATCGGTCTGTGGACGGCACTGGATTAATGCACAAAAATGCCTGACACAGCTGAGCTCCTGGCACAAGTTGGTCATTTGCGTATGTGTACAGAGAGCACTTTCCTGAACTCCTCTCGCTCCGGGAAGTTTATATTTGTAATCCCACGGAAAAGTTATTCCAGCAAGTTAACTTCAATCTACCACTTCCAGTGCAACCCAGGGCGAGAACAAGGACACTAAGACGTATTTACAGTTATGCGGAGCAACGGGGTCCTAAATCCAGCCAGGATGTGAGCTGGGCTAGGTAGGAGGCTTGAGGTCACCTCTGCAATACGCAGAGGGAAAGATATGCAGCGAGGACAGTCTGCATCACAGAACCAAGTTTGTACCTAACGTTTCAGGGTCGGTGCTTCAGCTCTGATGTACAGTTCTTCCTGCCCTGGGAAGTCACAGCCTCTTATCTCGAGGTTCGGTCCCCAGCTGACAGCACAGAGCACGTTTTTCATGAGTCACTGGGTGGGGAAACCTTGCTCCAAAGATTGCACATGGCCTCCTCTGCCAGCCCAATTCACATAATTTAAAGCCAATTGGAGGGAAAAGTCCTAGCCAGCTCTGTACATACCAATACAGGAGACAGGGCCAGTTTATCCACAATGGAGATAACCGCTCTTCTTTCAAGGAGAATCATCCAGGTGGTTCCATATCTATGTTTTATTTTGTTTTGTTGAGACAGGGCTTTGCTATGTGGTTCAAGCTGGCTTGAACTCAGTGGCCTCAAACTAGCTTAGATCCTCCTGCCTCAGCCTCCAAAGCGCTGGGATTAAAGGTATGTGCACCACCACACTAGCAAACTGATCGCTATCACGAAGCCCAGAGGCAAGCTCTGAAACAGGAGATGAGAAACAGTGCCCTGATGACAGTGACCTTGGCCAGCATCTGGAATGCAGGCCCTGCTTTGGAGGAGCCCTGGGAAACAGATGTTCTCCTGGATAGGGCTCCCAGGGCTGGAACTCAGTGCTACATTCCTGGTCTGTGTGGGACACTGACCCTGGGGGCCAGAACTTCCAGCAGGCAGACAGGGGAGCCTGAGAAACCACAGGAATGAGCCTGGCCCTGGCCTGGACTAAATAAACAAGCAGTGTTGGTGAGAAGCAAGACGGCACCAACGCCCCTTTCCGGCTATGACCAGCTGGCCAGAACCGAGTGGGTGGTAAAACCATCTTGCTAATGACAGATGCAACTTCTGTCCTTATGTAGCCGGGGCTGGCTTGGAACTCAAGTCCTCGCTCCCGTCTCAGCCTCCCGAGTGGTGGGATTATAGGCGTGTGCTACCACACTCAGCCTGTTCATTTTAAACGTTTTGCTTACCTTACAGCTCTATGTGCGTGGCGGGTTACAGCGTGCCTGGAACTGGGGGTCCCAGTGAAAGGTCTGCAAGCCCTGAACTTTGCAAGAGAAGATTCAGCTGCATCAGCCCCTTCATAGAAGCTGGGACTCAAAGGGGCCCTGACTCCTCTGAGCCTGCTTCTGCTGTGCAGGAGACACAGCACTGCTGAGTGTACAATTCTTTCAGATCCCCAGAGCCACGTCTCCTGCAGGCATGCGGGTCAAGGCCACAGGACGAGTTCCCACGCGGACTGTGCTGTCTGGACAGGGACTCAAGTCTGAGTTCCACAGGGCTCGGATTTCATGTGTATCCATGATAAACACAGGGACAGGGAAGGAGCCCGGGATCTCCACGGTGTCGTGGGGGCTGACCTCCCAAGGTGACACTGGGCAGACTGGAGCACTCGGCTTGGCTGGCTCAGCAATCTCAGGGACAGCAAGGGCCGAGGTGAGCCCCACAGAGGGAGCAAGACCTGAGAGCCTGGGGAGCCTGGACGAGGCGGAGCCACAGCATGGCTCCCAACAGAGACGAAAGGTCACTCTGGCTGCCACCCAGTCACAGGGGGAACCAGGGAGCGGGGTGAGGAGGCAGGGCTGGAAAGGGTCAAGGTTTGGAGGCCGGACAGAGGCTGACGCCGGGGGCCTGGAAATCTGGAAGGATGAAGCCGGCAGCCACAGGAAGTGGGCGCACAAGTCAAGGGGACCCAGGGCAGAGAAACCCACCCATCGCCCTTATCTGCTCCCAAAGGCACTTCGAAGAAACTTGAAAAACACAAGAGGTCACAGTCAGATTCTCAAGAAGGGAAGTAGGGCGTGGTGGTCTGAGTCACTGTTTGCAGTGAGTGATGAGCAGTCTGAAGTTACAGAGAAATCACTGAAGGAATCGCTCTCCATTTCCTGCAGGAGTCCCCCCTCCCCCCCAGGGACCCCCAAAGTGCAGGCTGCTCCTGGAGGGCGCAGGCAGGGCTCTGCACCAGGAGAAACACCACACACGGTTCCCACTGGGCTTTATTTACTTTCCCAGATCACGGCAAGGGTACAGGGGGTTCAGCAGAGGCGGCACCTTACACACGCAGGGAGAAACTCACGGCAAGCACGTCTGCACCCCAGCAGAGGTAAGCTGAACATCAGCGGCCCCCCGTGCGGTGCCCTCGGCCACGCGTCCCTCAGCGGCACAATTTCCCTCTACTCACTTCCTGGAAGAAACAGGATTCCACACACTGCCCAGGGCTATGCGGAACAGAATTCATGTTTATTTATTTACTTACTTCCCAGGGACTCACTGGGATCGGGCGATGCTGACTGTTCCCCACAGGCTGTGAGTAGCCCACACCTGTCCTAATGGCACACTGTCCCCCTGCCTAGCTGACCACTGCCCCACAGAACGGGGAGGGAGGGCCTGGGGCCGAGCCAGCACTTGCAGGTGGCCTCCCGTGTGGCCACGCACCACCTCCTTTCCTCACGTGTCAGGGGTTTGAAACCCAGCAGGACCAGCTCCCCTCTGTGGAGGCCCGCCCTGGTCTCCATCCTGCAGCACTTATTTCTAGAACATTCTGCCAAGGCCCTGCCTTTCCCAGTTAACACCACAGTGACAGGAATCTTGCCCACTCTGAGTAGTAGCAATCCCAACACACGAAAACAGGAAGCAGTTCTCAAAGTGGACATGAGACCAGGCCTGTCAGAGGAGGCTCTGGGGGTCCAGGAGCGCAGGAGAATGGGGTCAGGATTCCCACCTGGCACAGAAAACAGTCTGCAGGCCCCGGGCCAAGGGTGGCTAGTGAGATGGGGACGCCATTAAGATAGTGGAGTGGGGGCTGAGGCCCGTGTGCCCCTCACAGGGCAAGGTCCAGCGGGGGCCCTGCTCTGTGCCAAGCGCACTCTCCAGCCGTCCTGAGCAGGGCAGCGCCCCCACCTTCCGCAGACCTTCTTCTACATCCTCTGCCCACCTAGGCCAGACCAGCTCCCGCCAGCACCACACAGGAGTCCTGCGCCACACGCCTTTCTGCAATCATTTCAGACGCTTTGGGAAAGGGCACCTGGCCATGCCGACGTGGCCTCGTCATGGGTGTGCTGGGGTGCAAGGGAACAGTGCACAGGGCTGAAGGAAGGCGGGGGCTCTGCCTGGAACCCCTGAGGGCTGCTGTCAGTTGATCTGCAAGGTGGACATCTCACGACCTTCCCAAGCAGACAGATGACTTTCAGTCCAGGGACCTGACAGGCGGGGCAAGGCCTGGCCCTGACTCCCAGGACCATCTGGCGGGCATCACCGGAGCCTCCTCCAGGGGCCTGGCCAGAGGTGCCCTGCAGGAGCGGGCGAGAGGCGGGGACTGGTGCCGAAGGGCTGGAGCAGCACGAGACAGTAGGTGCTTTCACTCGGGGGGTGGTGGCCAGGGACCGAGGTGGAGGCCACATCGTGGGGCCATGCATCACCGAGGGCAGGCGGCACTGCCCTCCTCCTCGCACGTCCCCTGCCGTCCACTATCTGCTGGGCTGCAGGTACTGGTGCGTGAACATGTTGAGCTCGCTGTCCAGCCAACCGGCCTTATTCCTGCAAAGACACGGCCACTTCGCACACGGGCTGCTGACGGGTAAGGCTGGCTCGGCCTGCCCACAGAAGCTCTATGTCTCAAGCTGGGCATGGTGGCGCACACCTGTAATCTCAGTACTCAGGAGCCTGAGGCAGGAGAGTCACTGGGGAGTTCAAGGCCAGCCTGGGCTACAAAGTGAGTTTAAGACCAGCCTGAACTGCATAGGGAGACCCTGTCTCAAAGACAAATAACAAAAAAGAAGCTTCGTCTCACTCGACACCCCTGAAGATGAGGTCCCAGCCCTGTCCTTGTGGGTGGCGGGTCACCCTGTGCAGGCACTGCTTTCCTGCTCCAACAGGGAACTGCTGGCTCAGGAGCTGCTGCAGCTCGCAGAAGGCCTGGAGTCACAATCCCATGGTTTTGTTGTTCTTGCTTCTAAGGTGTCAAGATGCCCCCAGATCACGGGCAGAGCCACTGTGCCTCACTCCCTGACCCTAAAGCTCTGGCACTGTCTGACAGCCAGCAGTGCCCGGTAAATGTCTAACATGGAGCCCCGAGTTCCCACCACAGGGCTCTTGCCATGCCTGGGCTCCACTCTGGACCCACGGCCTGGGCCGCCCTCGGCCTCACCTGAGCAGTTTGGCTTTGCTCTGCAGGGAATCCAGAACTTCGATCTTCTTATTCATGGCAGCAATTTCCTGCTCCAGGTTTTCCCGGGTGATGTCCACTTGCTGGCAGAGATGAGCAAAGGTCCCAGACAGTTCCCTGGGGGGACAGAAGTGGCTGCTATGCACAGGGCCATTTGGTAGGAGGTCACGGTGGCTGAATGTGCCACACAGGGCCAGGCGGGCCCCTTCCCACCTACTGTAACCAGGGCACCACCATGGCAGGACAGGCAACAGCTTGGGCAGTGCAGCCCAGCTTGGGCGTAAGGCCAGGATTCAGAGCCTGACACCACTGCTTGTCACTCGAGTGGCAGAGAACAAGACATGATTTCCAAGGCTCGGTTTCCTCGTGGTGAAAAGGATATGCTGCTAAAACACGACCCACCTCAAGCACGAAGGAGGTGGAGTTAGGTGCCCAGGAGTCAGCAAAGCTGCCACCCAGCAGTGGAGCAGTGCTTCCAACCCCTGACCCACGGCAGGCACCTCTGGGCCTGTGGGGTGCCACGACCAGGCTGCGACCCAGGCCATGCATGGCACGGCACGGCACACGTGCCTGTCTCCCCAGCCTGGCCTAGCCCAGGACATAATGTCCCAGAGACCTCTTCCCCTTCCTGGCACCAATGTGGGCACAGAGGCCCAGGATCCAGGATGCTGCAGGCAAGGCTGGAGGCAGCTGGGTCTCACTTCCCAGAGGGCAGATGACCCCGTCAGGGCCAGCGGGCCACTCACTGCTGGACTTGGTGGCTGCAGTTGGAGCCCGTGTAGCTGATGATAAGCTGCAGCTTCTCGCTGGCGTACTCCACAAACTGCCGTTTGAAGGCCCTCTCCTTGGCCTTGGTGGTCCAGGTCAGGCGCTCGTAGACGTAGAGTAGGCCGTAGAGCCCGAAGGAGAGGGCAATGAGCCGCCAGCCCACCGCCTTCCACACCTGCAGAGGGCACTGTCAGCAGAGCGGTGCCTCTGGGGCCCCTCCACGGCCTCATGCTCTGTCACTCCCAGGATGGCTGGAGCCCCAAGCAGGGAGCCTGGGCTCCACTGAGACACCCCTGCAATGTCTCCCCACCCTCCAGGGCCAGGGGTGGGTCTCTCTCCAGCTAGGAAGCGCTGGCCATAGGATATGAATTATGCATGGTATGGGGGCCAGACCCATGTAAGCAGATGTTTGCAGGTTTTTGGCAGTACCAGGGATTAAATCCAGAGCTTCCCATTAAATTAAATCCCCAGCCTATTTTAAATTCTGAAACAGGGTTGCTAAGTAGCTAAGTTGCCCAGGATGGAGTCCTGCACAGCAGGACTTGGGCTCCTGAACTTGGAGTCCTGCTACACAGCCTCTCAGAGTGCTGGGATCACAGGCACACGCCCTCATGCCCAGCTAAGTAGAATTGTTTTTCTGTAGTGCTGAGGGTCGAGCCCAAGGCTTCCCGCATGCTAGGTAAGGATCTACCCTGCTGCTGAGCTCATTTCCCCTCCTTGCAGCAAACAGAATTCTCAGAGCTCCAGGCTAGTGTCTCAGAGCCATGTCTCCTGCTGACGACACGGGCCATCAGAGCTCTGCACATCGCCCCCCAGCAAATGGCTCCCTCTGGTCTGGGACAGCAACAGGTTAGAGCCAAAAAGCAGGGCTCAGAGCCTGACAGTGAGGCGTTCGGCTGCCTGTGCGACCCTGGCCAAGTTCCTGGCTCACAGACAAGGCCCTGGGTAGCCAGGCATGGGCCGCATTCTTCTAATCCCAACTCCTCAGCAGCAAGACCGTGGGCTCAAGGCCAGCCCGGGGAACTAGTTTAGTGAGACCCTGCTCAAAACAAACAGGACTGGAGATGCAGACTGGTGGCTAAGTCAGTTGCTAGCTTAGCATGACCAAGGCCTGGGGCGCAATACACAGTACCAGCCCCTCCCACAAAAAGAAGCGGGGGCTCTGGCGTCCTAAGCATAGAGGTCCCAAGGATAGAAAATACTCAGCTCAGCTAGGGGTTTAGCCCAGCAGCACAAGCACCTGCCTTGCAAACATGCAGTGGTGAGTTTGATCCCCGGTACCAAAAAAGAAATACTCAGCTCACTGAAGTGCTGGGCGGAGGCAGGGACCACCCCAGCATCGAGCCCCGAGGCCTCTCCCCTCTCCCCCAGGCTCCTTGAACAGGACTCATCACTGACCACGCCGCCAACCACCAGGATGCCCATGGAGGTCCGGGATGTCAGCGAGGCCAGGCCAGTAACCATGGAGACCATGAGCTCCTCCTGGGTGAGGGAGCCCTGCGGCAGGGGCGGCATGCTGGGGTTGGCAGGTGTCAGCGGGACGGGACGCTGCACCTGTGGGGAGAGGCGACGAAGGGGTAAGAAGTGGCACATCTCTCAGGGAAGCAAACCCTCAGGGACCCCAAGGCTGGGGATCTGGGACAGGGATGCAGAGCGTCTGCCCCTTTTTTGCAGGAAGAGCTCGTACTATGTCCCAAAAGCAAAAAAAGAGGAAGCAAGCTTTTTGGGCAGCATTCCTTTACCATGTGCCAGAGCGAACTCAGCCAGCATCGTGCTGGACAAGGCCAGGCTGACCCCCGCACTGCTGAGCACACTGGGCCACGCTGCGCACACGGCCCAGCTGTCTGCCCCGGGGACCCCGCTTTAGTACAGCTCCTGTGTCTGGTGGTGGGGCACAGACCGACCTCCCATGATGCCCTGGGGAGGAGCTCTGCTTGCCTGGTCATTGTAGCCCATCAAGGCCCGACGGCTGTTCTTGGGGCCCAGAAACCTATTCACCAGCATGGTCCACCCCAGAGAAAAATGGAACTCGATGTCCTCCTGAAAGTCAGCACACAGCTTGTCACAGTTGAGGTCGTAGCTGAGGGAGAAGCACTGGCGAGGGACCAGCATGTCTATCTGATTCCGCACAGACACCGGAAGGAGGGGCTTCAAGCCATCTGTCAGGGACACAAAGCCAATGTGAGCTCGGGCCTGCGCCCCATGGGTGCCAAGCCTCAGCACACGGGCCACACCAGCTGCGGCCAAGGGTGCCAAGTTCTGCCCAGAAACCAGCCCTGTGGGGCAGCCTCACTGTGACAGGCTCGGCTAGGACCTAGGCCCCTCTCGGGCTGTGACAGTCCCAGGACAGGTCCCCCAGGGGTGACAGGACAGGAGAGCCCCAGGACCCAGTGGACACAGCACTCACCGATCATGTCCTGCTGCATGGCCTGCAGGGCCTGGGTGATGGTGGTGGAGCAGCGGTCAGACATGTTCCGGCCCAGCCCCTCCTCTATATGGCGGTGCAGTTCCTGCGAGCGGGAGAGGGAGGTAAGAGGGGCGGCACCCCACCAGGAGCCCACGGGGTGAGCAAGGAAGGCTCCCCTCAAGGCTTCCTCTGCACTGCAAAGGCGCCCTGGCCACAGCAGCCAGAGCCCAACCACTGTCTGGTGGTGACTCCATCGACAGCCAAAGAGCAAAGCAGGCCGTGCTGCCACGAACTCGTAACTCACGTTCTTGTAGACCTTGAGGACGACTGGAGAGGGGTGGAAATCCATCTGGTACTCGTCGACCAGCACAGAGAGGCGCCTGATCTCCTCAGCCATAGCAGTGGACACCTACAGCCCAGGGAAGGACGAAGTGAACAGCAGGAAGCACCGGGCTGTACCCCGAGATGGTGGACCACCTGAGGCCAGTCTGACCCGGGGAAGGGAGACCGGCCCGGCGACACACAGTGGGGCCCAAGGCGAAGCTCCATACTCTTGAATCAGGGCCACCACCTCCTCCTGGAAGCCAAGAAGGCCTCTCAGGAGAGGTTGTCTGCCCGTCCCTTTCCCAGCACCGTGGACGCTGAGTCCCCGCCACCCTGAACCCTTCCCGAGTCTCACCTGCCGTTCCACCTCCTCCGTAATCTGCTTAATCCGGAGCTTGTAGTCCTGAGCCAAGAGCTCCAGCTGCTTGTCAATGAACCGCAGCCGGTCCTGCCGCTCTTCGCGCATCTCCTGGCAGTAAACCCTGCAGGGAGGGGGCAGGGCTCAGAGGCCACGGTGCCCGAAGGCCCGGGCCCGCCCAGGACTCGTGAGTGACAATCACTCCTTGGTCTCCGACTCGACAGAGAGGGGAAATTAGAAAAAATTCTGCCAACCAGTTGATAAGGAAGGAAGCCAGCTCAGCCTCACTGGTGACCATGGAAACGAAAGGAAAGCTACCTTCTCCCCAGAGGCTGGGAAAGGGCCGGGTCTGACGCTGCAGGGAGTCCCTGCAGACAGCACTGGGAGCCAGGAGGGGCACAGCAGCGGAACCTCTAGGATTAAGTCCTAGAAAGACTTACAGAGGTGCCTGGGGGTCACAAGCAGGTGGCCGCTGCTCTAGGGCATGGCATAGGAAAAACCAAGACTAAAAATCAGCTGGTAGGAAAACGGGCTCTGGTGACCATGGCAGGCTGGCTCTCCAAGCGTCACCAGCTGTGAGCACACCCGGCGAGGAGAGGGGCAGGGTACAGGCAGGCACGCAGGAGCCACCACCCCGACAACTCCAGCCTGCCACAGGGCTGCCGTATGTGTGCGGGGACTGATGTGAACAGGGCAGCATCGGCCACAGTGGCTCTGAGGAACGACAGGGTCAGCCAGTCAAAGGGCACTGAACACTTCCTTCAGTTATATTTGCATTTAATACAGAGCAAACACTGCCAATTCTGGGTGGTGGGAAACAAGGTGCTTTTATATTATTTTCTGTACTTTTCTATATTTTAAATTTCTCCAAGCTGGGCATGGTGGCACAGGCCTGTAATTCTAGCACCCAGGAGGCTGAGGCAGGAGGATTATTGTAAGTTTAAGACCAGCCTGGGCTACAACATGAGCTCAAGGCCAGCCTGAACTGCAATAGCGAGACCCTGTCTCAAAGAGACAGAAAAAGATCTCCAAAAAGGAAAGAACAAAAACTTAAGGAAAAAAAAAACCAAGTTCAGGCTCAGAGAATAGCCGGGGGCAGGACAGGGGCCACACTGCACAAGCAGGTGGGCAGCACTGGCGGCCCCGCTCCCCAGAGGTCCTGCTTTCCAGCGGTCCCTGCTCCCCGCTTGTCGTCCGTCCAGCTGTCCGCCGCCCCCCAGCTGTCCACGGGGCTCCATGGGGTCTGAGTGGAAGCCCAGACACTCGGCCACCCCTGGGCCCTGCCCGGGGTCGCCCCAGCTGCCCGGGGCGAGTGGCATAGCGTCCTCCTACCGCTGCTCCTGCGCCGCGATGTGCAGGGAGTCCATGATGAGGCGCACGGCCTCCGCGATCTGCTTGGCCCGGACCGTGTGCTGCTCGAATTTGGTCTTCACTGCAGACTGGGAGATGCACTCCTGGAAGGCAAGAGCGGCTGGGGGAGTCAGGGCCAGGCTCTGGCTTTCTCTACCGGGGACTGGACCAGGGGGCACTCAGGAGGCGCAGGATCAGCTGACGGCAGCCTCAAGGGACTTACCTCAAATCTCCTCTCGAAATTCTGAAACTCAAACATTCTCACTTGAAAGCCTTCTGCGAGCGCACCCCCTAGGGGAGTTGCATTGCATTAGCCATGCAGAGACAAGAGGGGACACACAAACACACACACACCACCCCGGACTCCCCTGCCCCAGTCACAGGAGGAGTGCTGGACAGCGAGGGCCTCTCACCCCAGGACCTTTTCACCGCCCCTCCCCAAAACGATTTCCACTGAGTGGAATTCGATTTCCACGTGGCCTGACCCCTTGAACCCGAGAAAAGGTGGACCTCTGTTCCCACGGTTACCTCCTTCCGGCATGCCCTGGGCTTTCTGGATCCTGGCGTTGAGCACCTCCTTGGCAGACACAAAGAAGATGCGGTCCCCGGCCTGGGCTCGATCCACCACGCCCAGCTCGTCCACCAGGAAGCTGGTGCAGCGCTCCATGTGCTGCCGCCGCACCTGAGGCCCACACAGAGGGGAATTTGTGACCAGGGTGGGGTGTGGCAGGCTGCTCCTGTGGGGCCCACAGCCCCAAACTGCATTTGTTTTCCTTAACGGGTCATTTAGGCACGTTCAGTGTGATAGGTCACCCGGCCCCTCTGATCCCTGGCCACCACACTCCCCAGAAGTGCTGTCGTGGGGGTGTTTTGGGGACCGGCCCAAGGCGGATCAGGCATACAAAAGTCAGGAGTTTTTAAGAGATTTCATCCTCTCAGCAAATCTATCCACTGCACTCCTCCCTCCAATGAGCCCTGGATGCCAAGAAACGTTAAGGAATCCGCCACGGTCACGGGCCCAGCATCAGCCAGGTCTGGACTCTGGGCCGACGGCTGCGGACTTGGGAAAATGCATCAGTCCCGCCACCAGCCACCGCCCTTTCCCTTCACACACATCAGGAGCTGAAAGCTGTCACTGGAAACCGATCATTCTCCACTCTCCTTCCAAGCTTCCTTCTCTCATCTGCTGGAAGCTGAGTCTGTTCTGTATTTATTAGTTTTATGAACCAAAATGAGCACAGATGACCCCAAACAGAGACGCGTGACAGACGTGCTTTCCGGGCCATCAGAAGACGCCGCAGCCAACACCTGGAGGACCTTGGTGCTGCCATCAATTCAGGGAAGACACCAGATCTGCCGGCTCCCAGGAGCGCACAGCGTGGTGACGGGCAGATGCAGCCCCCAAATGTCACACAGAGGCACTCACCTCCTCCATGTACTCGGGCTCCGAGGCGGACGCATCCCACCGGTTGTTCAGGATGAAGATGTTTGGGCGGGACAGCCGCTCGCTCACCTTATGGAAGAACTGCTTCTCCTGGACAGGGGGACAAGGCCTCAGGACAAAGGCGCTGCGCCAGCCGGGGCGCCCCAGCCCCTGTGAAGCAGGGTCCCAGGAGAAGGGAGGGGAGGAGGTACCGTCTGCATCAGGGTGGACTCCGAGTTGGCTACCAGCACGAACACGTCAGCGTCCAGGCAGAACTTGTCGATCCAGCTGTCCAGCTCTGTGGTGACATCGATTCCAGGGCTAGAGGCGACAGGGGCAAACCAACAGGGCTGGGCACAGACTTCGAGCCCTGTCGCGCCAGCTGTGAACAGACTGGGGGCTTCGAGGCAGGCAGGCTGGGGGGAGGAAGCGGCCTGGCCCTTGTGTGGCGAGCTTGACTTCCTACTTCGCATCCTGCTAGCCTGCCTGGCCAACGTGTGGCTTTTCACATATGCGTGTACCACCCTTATACAAATGTAATCACTAGGGCCGGGGATTTAGCTCAGTGGCACAAGCGCTTGTCTGGGTGTGGAGGCTGAGGCAGGAGGACAGTAAGTTTAAGGCCAGCCTGGGCAACTCAGCAGACCTGGTCTCAAATTTTAAAAAGAAAGGACTGGGACTGCAGCCCAGTGCTGGAGCGCAGCCTAGCATGAGTGAGTGCCCAGTACCATGCCGGCCCCAGACGGGAATCAAATACTACTCTGACCCCACCACCACAGGATCTCCTGCAGCACACACACACATGAGGGACCTGGGGACGAGACGGTCTCCACCCCGCAGCTCTCCCCATCTCCCCAAGCCCAGTCCTGAAAGATCGGCAGGGCCCTGGTGCAATAGCTCTGGCAGCCAGACCCCGGAGGGAACCCAGAGGAGGGGGGTTGGCAGAGCCGTCTCAAAGGCAGCAACACTGGGGCCGAGAGTGAGCACTGGGCACAGCTCCGGGGCAGAGCACTCGCCTGGGTGCAGACAAAGCCCCCAACCCACCACCTCGAAAAGAGAAAGAAAGCAGAGCAAGGCGGGATCGTGCAGAATCGGATGGAAACCCAGCGCCTCCCAGTTCAGTCCTCCGCAGGGGCGCCCCTGCTACCTGTCCATCAGCACCAGGTCATCCTTCAGAAGCGGGCACTTGGAGTTGGGCCACATCACGCTCACCAGGCTGCCAGCGTGCAGCTGCTCGTCCTGATGCAGGGCGTGGGCCAGCTGGTTCACAGTCTGTTGGGGGAGCAGGGAGAGGATGGTCAGGCTGCGGGGCAGCCGCCCAGCCAGGCTTGCAACAGCGCCTGCCACGGCATGGCGGTCTAGTCAGCTACCCCTTTCCGTTTGTCTCCTACATAAAGTTAAGTGCTGGGAGGTATAGTGAGAACCAGCTTTCTAGATGGGTATGCTGGTGCACACCTACAATCCTTAGGAGGCTGAGGCAGGAGAATCACAAATTGCAGCCAAGCCGAGGCAACCTAAGTGACTATGCCAGACTTTCAAAAATCTAAAAAATATATCTATAGATATATCTACATATCTATATATATCAATGCAATGGCTTTGAGTTCAATTCCTAATAGCATGAAAAACAAACAAAAAAAACCCTTTCTTCCTCAAGACTCTTTCTTAGATATCACCTTAAAACTGAAACTGCATTTTTTTTTTTTTTTTTTTTTTTTTGAGACAAGATATCCCATTGTAGTCTAGGCTGATCTTGAACTCACTATGAAGCCCATGCTGGCTTCAGATTTGCAGTGATCTTCCTGCCTCAGCCTCCCAGGTACATGCTGTCACTACCGCGTTGGCATTAACTCCTTACAGAGCTCCTTCAGCACCTGGCCCCAGGCAGGAACTCGGTTTCCCTGAGACAAACGGAAGCACCCAGGTGGCAGGTCCCGGCTGGCGTGCAGCAGTCCCGGCTCACAAGGCCTCTCCACTCAGGACTAAGAGCAGTGGTGGCGCCTTTCTCCCTGCTCTGTCACCATGGATGTGCACAGCCGTCACTTGGACCCTGAGGCTCACCGGTGGCTTACCTGACTCCCTGATCACTCCTGTCCTCCAAAGAGTCCGTGTGAGGGCCCAGGGTCTCCTGCCTCCCAGTGCAGGGGGCCCGGCCCTCGTGCGGGGTGGGGTCACCCTGTGACATGGCCCCCTGGTGAACACCCACCTTGACGCTCCGCTTCTCCTCCGAGCCCTCGGTAAGCAGGAAGGCCTCGTGGCCCTCGGTGCCGCCCACCCGCAGGAAGCAGTTGGTGGTGTGGCCAATCCCGGAGGGCAGAACCTTGTCCCACAGCATGGCATTGATCACGGTGCTCTTCCCGTTGCTCGTCCTAGGAGGACACAAGGCCATCAGCAAAGCCAGCAGCAGCAGCTGTCACTGGTAGCCCCAAATCCAGTTCTCTGCACTGTCACTGGTGGCCAGACAGCACCCAGAGCACGCGCTCTGTGCTCACTAAAATAGGCAGCAAATGTCCCCTGGCCTGAGGCTGGGCCACCACCAGGGCTGCAACCTCAGGCCCATCTGTGCGGGGCTCGTGCGACCTGTCCCTGAACACCCCGCTGCCTCCCAGCACCAGCAGCACAGCTGGGGCCTATGCAAGCATGAACCACTGAGCTGAGGGCCACTCCGAGGCCGTCGCAGGGCATCAGGACAGGACTCGAGGCACAGTTCCCCAGGAACTGCCACATGCCCGGCACCCCACCTGGCTAGGGGCCTTCTTCCTGTTTCCAATTTTAATTTATTTTTAGATATCTAGTTAGAAAACTATAACATGAAAGCAGAGGGGGAAGCTTCACTCAAAGTGGGAACCAAGGGCAACAACGGCTTGCACCTGTACCCCTTGGAGTCAGGAGGCTGAGGCAGGGAAATCCATGTTGTGGTCTGGGACTACATGTCCCCTCAAAGCCTCATGCAGTTCCAGGTGGGGCTTTTTCAGAGGTGACCGGATCTACAGTGTGCGGCTGATCCAGGCCCAATGCTAGGACTGAGGGGCTCGGAGTAAGGGCGGGTGGTTGCTCAATAAATCTACTGATCAGTCTGGCACCACCCGAACCCCGATAGCCTGGACACAATACAAGGCGCAGAAAGCGGCTTGTCTAGTCTCTTGTTTGCTTTGCTCCCTCTGCCAGCCATGAACTCTGTCCTCTGAAATGCCTGTCGCCATGCCACTGTGCCCTGGAGCCAGCCGATTACAGACTGAAAGTGCTACGAAGTGCAAGCTAGATTACTCTTTCCCCTTTAACTTTGGCTAGTCTTTTTTTTTTTTTTGCACTGGGGATCAGGGATCGAGCTCGTGACCTTGCGCTTGCCACGCAGGTGCTTCTGAGGTGACTAAACCCCTGGCCCTTCCCCTCTTAACTTCGGGTCGGGTATTTTGTCTCAGCAACGAGAGAAGTAACGAACCCAGGGAACCCAGGAGTTGGAGCCCAGGCTGGGCAACATAGCAAACCCATCTCAGAAACAAAACAAACACAGACAGGATGCAAAAACACTCCTCTCGGTGGGACACCAATTCACCCAGTCAGCACGGCTGCTAGCAAAACCCAGGAAGCCATCGGTGCTGGAAGGGTGGGAGACACCACAGGCTGGTGCTCGGGGTGCACAAGGGGAAACAGCGCAGTGGCTCCCGGAACATTACGCACAGCAGGCTCATGCGACCCACTGACCGCTTGTGTGGCCTGAGAGAGCAGAAAGCAAGGTGCAGAAGACAGAGCTGTCCCCACGTCACAGCAGCAGTGTTCGCCACAGCAGACAGGTGGCAGCAACCCAGTATTCACAGGTGGGCAAGTAGATGAACGTGGCCCACACAGAATGGAGCAGGACTCAGCCCTGAAAGGTGGCTTTGGGTTTTCAGCTTGCTTTTCCATTCCAGGGGACTGAACCTGGGCCTGTGCACTGAGCTACATCCCAGCCCCTGACTGTTTGCCTTTTGAAACTGTCTTGGCAGGTCGCTAGGTTGCTGGGGCTGGGCTCGAACTTGTGACTTTCCTGTCTTAGCCTCCCTGGGTGCTGGGATTATAGGCGTGTGCTGCTGGACCAGCTCAGCCTTAAACTCCGACACAGGCTACCACACGGAGGCACTGACAAGAGTCAGTCGCCATGAGACACAGTCTGACTCCACTTAAGTGAGGCCTCTATTCTAGAGCACTCAAATTCCTAAGCACAGAGAGCGAAAGGCAGCTGGCCAGGCCTGGGGCGGGGTAACGGGGAACCGCTGCTGAATGGTGACCATTCCAGGTCCGTGAGATGAAAGGTTCTGGAAACAGGTCATAAAGTAATGCGGACACACTGGCTACTGAACCGTGTACTGTACCTCATAACGGTTAACGTGGGTGGCTGGGTACAGCGGGTGACAGAGCACATGCTTGGCACCTGGGAGCCCTGGATTTCATTTCCAGCACCACCACCAACAAAAAGGTTAATCTTGTATTACATAGACTTTTACAAATTCAACATACAAAAGAACTCGAAGGACTCAGGCAGGCCGCTGGCCCCAGCCCAGCCCGGCCCAGCCCAGCCCGGCCCAGCCCAGGAAGCAGCTGTGGGCTTCCAGACTCACCGACCGAAAAAGGCCACCTTCATGTGCCGCCGGGCCAGCACCTCGCTGATGCCCCTCACTTTGGACAGGTAGCCTTTGACGTCCAGAACCTGCTCTTCGGTTGTGACAGGGTCCAGCTCTGCATTCCTGTAGGTGTCTGGAGGCAAAGATGACAGAGGGTTGCCATGTGATGGGAGTTCTGTGACCGCAGCCGGAAGGGCCCGAGTGCTGGCCCTGCTCACCAGAACCTCCACGAGGCAGCCAGGGCATGACTGGCAGCAAGGCCGCCTAGGCTCCCGAGTCTCACAGGCACCAGCTCTGGAGCCTCAGGCACAAGGCTCCCCGTCAGACGGAGGCAGAGACACTCAGATCACTATGTGCAGCTCAACTAAGTGAAAGCACGGAGAGCAGGGGCCGCCAGGAATCCCCAATGTTAACCGCTCTTTTCCTTACATATTCCTCCTCAACAAATGCTTACAAAGCTCTCAGTACCAGCCAGGCACTGTGCTGGGCACCTTCCACACACTGCCTCATTCCAGCCTTGCTGTAACTCTGCACAGGGCAGAAGTAGGGGAGGCAAGAGTCACACCAGTGCCCAGGTTCTGAGCCCTCCATGTCACTGCACAAGGTCCCTCCTGACCTGGCCCTGCTGGCCTCTCTCTCCATCTCTCTATCCCCCCAAACAGGCCTCAGGTGACTGGGAGCATTCTCGACTACACCTCCAAGCTGGCAGCCCCCAGGCTGCACCCACCATGCCCACCCCCGCATGGGCACACGGACACGCCTCTGCAGTGACCGGGAGGACGCAGGCTCCCAAGGCTGTGGCCACCCAGCAAAGCGGGTGGTGACAGGCTCTTGCTGCCTGCCCTTTGGAGAAGGCCCAGCTGGGAAGCTGCCCTCCCGGCACAGAGCAGCCCCAGCTGCAGCCCAGGATTCCTCCGCTCCTTTCCATCCCGGGACCAAGAGGTGAGGACCACACATTTTCACAGATCAAAGCACTGTCACACAAACACCTCCCTGAAGCATGCGCTGGCCACAGCCTCAGGCGAGCCAGTGACTCGGGGTCACAGAGGTCACCCTGGGCTCTGGGAGGACGGCAGCCTTGTTACCACCTCTGTAATCCCACGCCCGGCACAAATCCCAGCTGAGCAGGGCGGCTGCTGCTAAAGAGGCAGGCAATGCTGAGGCACAGGCTCCGGAGACCAGACGCTACGCTACCGGGCGGACAGAGGAGGAGAAAGCCGAGTATAAAGAGGAGCGAAGCCCAAGTGATGGAAACGGGGAGGCTGCGGGGAGATGGGACGATCTTGGGAAGGGGGGACGGAGGGAAGGGCGGCAATGGGAGGCGAGGGCCAAGACGTGAGGCGCACAGGACCCATTCTCCATGATGAGCGCCTTTGTTAGCAAATGTCCGCTAAACACACAGCTAGTCAGGTGGAATCATTTCACTCTCAACCCTATACTATTAGAATTCAGGTTTTTCAAAACTCTTTACCTCTTTATTTAATTGCTGGCAATCAAACTCAGGGCTTCAGGCACTCTAGGCAAAGCCTCTCCCACTGAGCTACACCCCACACTTATTTTTAATTTAAAACGCAAGGGACACTTTCCCTCACATCAGGTACCACACAGAAGGCTGGGCACAGACAAGTTAACACAGCTGGACCCAGACGCCTCCTTCGGGGATGGACTGCGAGCCCCAGTGGCCCTGTTACAGGCATGTGGGGTCGGGGACCCCAGCTGACAGCAGCTGGAGAGAAGATGGCTGCCCAAGGGACATCTGCACAGACTCCTGAGGGAGCTCTGAAAATGCCTGGTCTCACCTGGGCCCCTCCAAACCAGAAAATCCAGGGCAGCTGGGCGCCAGCCACCGGGGCTCACACCCCCGGCCTACGGCCAAGCGGCCGGCCCTTCTCTGCTGGTACGGCCAGGGACTACAGGCAGGCCTCGAATTAGTAACGAGTAGCAGAGGCAAAGGTGACAGGAATGTCTATTCATAGTCCTGTCACCAATCTAAAAATATCCCGGGCAGGGCAGCCCGCCCAGGATAACCACCACCCGACAGTGCCTGGCACTCCGGCGGCCAGAACGGGGCGGGGTGAGGCTGTCAGCAAGCACTAGGTCACTCGCACGGGGACAAATCATAAACCTCAGTGTGCTTCTCTTTTAGATGGGGACAACCTTCACCCAACCCTCACGGCGTGAGACGAGTTGATGCAATTCTTAGATCAAATCTGACCTGCTGGTTCCTGGGTCTTCCCGGCCTAAGCTGCCCACTTCCTAAACCCACGGGACTGTGAAAACAGAGCACCATGAAGGGGAATGGCCCCTGGGCGCACGTGTCCCCCCAGAGTGAGGCTGCACCCCCCACACTCCGAAGCCTGCTTTCCGAGTAGCTCAGAGGGTCTGAGGCGTCCCGGCTGAGCAGGCGCCCACTCACCTTCCAGGAAGGCGGCGCTCTCCTGGATGTAGGCCCCCAGCTGCTCAAAGATGCCATTGATCTTCTTCTTGGCGGTGACAAAGTGCTTGAGAGGGGACGCATTCACCTCGGCCATGTGTCTCTTATCCTTCTTGACCGTGACGATGGGGTTACATCGAGAGAAGAGCAGGGACATCGCGCTGCAAGAGGAGACAATGTGAGCGTGCCCAGGAACACCGGCCAGGGGACACGGTGCTAGGGCATGACAGGCCATGGAAGGAGAACTGGGACCACCTCTGGGGCCGCTCCAAGTGACCAGGTGAGAGCCAGCATGAGAAGACTAGGAGGGCAGACCTCAGGACACTGAGACTACTGTCCCTGCCACGCTGCACGGGCACAGACACCTGCAGCCAAGGCCCTGAGTCCAGGCCCGGTGCTGGCCACACCTTGCCTGCTAGATGGTGACAGACAGAGAGACAGAGGAATGGCGAGGTCACACAGAGAAGCCATCCTCTAACCAGCCCTAACTTCTCCCCACACACCATCCAAGCACCTCGCAGACAGCGCAGAGTGAGGCTCAAGGTCAGCGACACCCGGCACGCACCGGGGCCACTCTGCCGCCCAGAAGCCTGATGGTGCCCATTCCTCACTGATTTACGGGGCTAAAACTGACTCGAGGCTGGGCGTGATGGTGCACACCTGGAATCCCAGCACCCAGGAGGCTCAGAAAGGAGACAGCTGTGAGTTCAAGGCCAGCCTGAACTGCGTAGGGGAACCCCCTCAAAAAGACAGAACAAAACAAAACTCACTCGAAAAAACATCTATTGGTCTCTTACTGTACCTTGGATTGTAGAAAATTTAGAAACTAAAGGAAAAAGCCCTAATTCTACCACTGTGTGATAAGCACTGCTGTCGTAAGCACTGCTAACGTTATTAACACTGTCTTTTTATGTGGCACTCTCTTCTCTCTCTCTCTGTCACCCTCATATGCATCTCTACAGTGCATTTGCTCCACATGGCAAAGTGACCTGACTCTGAAGTCCCCTGGGCAAAGGTCAAAAGTGGCAATCAGAGAAAGCGGCTCCAGATGTGGCTGGGAAACCCTGCCAGGTCCTCATGCAGGGAGCCCTTCCTCCGGCACAGCCCTTCGGTCCAGGGCAGTACAAGGAAAAGGTCCCGCCAGGACCAGAGAATGTGTATGCCACGATGTGCCTGGCTTTGTGCCTCCCTGCTGGGCAGCCCCGCCCATCAGCCCCGAGTCTCAGGCGGAAAGAAGGCGCTGCTCCCAAGCGCGCACACAAGAGGAACTGGCAAAGGGTGCCCGGAGTGCTGAGCAAGGTCCTGAGAAGCAGAAAGGCCATCCGGAGAAAGTGGGGGAGACTGAGCACCAAAACCAGCTCTTAGGAACTACCCGGCCCAAGGAGGACGCAGACAGATGGGCAGAGACAGGAACCACACGCACTGCTCAACTCTACAAATCCTTTTGCAGTGTGAGACTCCTGGGAAGAAGAGGAAGGAAGTGACCCCACTTCTGCTTCCACCCACCTCCTCCGTCCATTGCCACATCTCTGAGATGTGTTTTTCTGACTAAGAAAGACAGCAGGGCCTTGAGGAGAAGACTGGAAATTAAGTGACTGGTCCTCAAAGCAGAAAAGCAGATCCAGGTGCGGCCAGGCAGACACACGAGAAGTGCTGGGTGGGTGTAGCTCGGTGGTACAGTGCCTGCCTGGCCCAGCTCCTGGGTTGGATCCCAGCACTGATGGGGGAGAGGCCCACACTAAAAAAGGGGTCTGGGATGGGACAGGATGGGGGGTTACACGGGACAGATTTTGGAATCAGCTATCAGTGGATACAAATTGTGACTGTAGCCAGGAGTGGTGGCACATGACTGTATTCCTAGCATTTGGGAGGCTGAGACAGGAGGGTCACTGAGAGTTCAAGAGAAGCCTGAGCTACATTGTGAGACACTATCTCAAAACAAAACACATAAAAAAAAAAAAAAAAAAAAAAAAAAACAGCCCGATGTGGCGGCTCACTCTTGCAATCCCAGCACTCGGGAGGCTGAGGCACAAGGATTTTCCAAATTCAAGACCAGCTGGGGCTACAAAGTGAACCCAAGGCCAGCCTGAACCACCCTGTGAGACCTTGTCTCAAAAAGACAAAAGAAAAAACAGAGAGAGAGAGAGAGAGAGAAACCATCATGACTGTATTCTTTCTGGGCTACATAAACAACATTAAGCAAGTTATTTCATCTTTTTTTTTTTTTTTTTTTTGTCTTTTTCTTTTTTATCGGTAACCGGGGATCGAACTCGCTACTGCCTGCTTGCAAGATAGGCGCTTATGCCGCTGAGCTAAATCCTCAGCCCCCGAGTTATTTCATCTTAGAACCTTGATTTCTTCATGTGTACCACAAGTATAACACTGTAAAACTGCTACAAGCTTAGCATGCACACACAAAGTAAGGAATCAAAGAATTACGCGGTTTAAAACAATAACGATTAGCCAGATCTCCCCAAAAGCCCCGGGCCTGCAAAGAAAGTAACTGGGCTGAGGTGAGGACCTGCCTCTCCCACCAGCGGGCCTGGAGACAGAGTAAACAGGCCCGCTGGGAAGCTCAGCTGTGCCGGCTGCAGAAACAGCTTGCTTGCAGGAGTCAGGTTCAGAAGCAGGTGCTTTTTAAATTCTAGTCACTGCGCAAGCCTGAAGGCTAAGAACTAAAAGCATGAGTGAGCAGTAAGGGCAGGGTTCTCGGGAACACATGTCAGTAAAAGCTCAGTCCCTCAAGGTTAAAGTCTGCGGGGAGCTCAGCCAGGAAACGCCCTGTGCTTGCCGCGATAACACCCGCAGCGCATGTCTCCAACACCTTGTGGGAAAAAACCCACGAGTGACTGCTCCAAGCTGTGTGATCTCTCCAGCGCTGCCGACCCCCAAGCTCAGATTCCACACTTGACCCTGCTCTCTCCCGGGAACACTTTCCCTTAATTACCCATAAGCCATACGCTCCTACTGTCCTAGGCCCAACTCACGTCACCCCCTGCACAGGGAACGCCCACCCTCACCAGACTGTGTCCCCACCTAGGCTCTGAGCTCCTCGAAAGCCAGTCTTCAAGAACAGTGGCCTCCTTCCATGTTACCTTCCTCTCCACCACTATGAGTCATGGTGTGAGAGGGGAACACCCCCCAGGGACAGTTTTAAACCTTCCTGGACACCCAAATCCTCTTTCTTCTCAGAAAGCAATATTTGGGCTCAGTGTGCCCAGAGAGCTGGACAAACGTTTCAGATTCTGTAACACAATCCCTCCAAAGAGCAGGCTGGACATACACGTGGGCACAAGAGGACCAAAGCTGCAAAACACATGCACGAGAGCCAAGAGAGGGCCCCCACTATCTCAGGGCTTTGTCTGCTGCCTCTCTCACGCTGTGGGAAGCGGCTGGCTTCCCGTTCCTCCTCTGGAAAGCCCTGATAGACACGACTTTGACACAGGGATCACCGCAGGCATGCGCAGCCCATCCCCCAGCACAGCTGAGCTGGAGGGTCCAATTCCAGTATCAGCTGCACACTAAGTTGCACACTCGGAGCTTTTGAGCTCAAAGTGCTCTTGATATTATAGTCTCAGACAGGGCCAGGCATGGTGGGGCATGTCTACAATCCCAGCACTTGGGAAACTGAGGCAGGAGGCTCGCTACAAATTCGAGGCCAGCCTGGGCTACAAAGTGAGAGTTCAAGGCCATCCTGAACTGCACAGTGAGACCCTGTCTCAAAAAGACCAAAAAAATAAATACTGGGCTGCTGTCTCTCTCCACTGGCACACACGGTGACAATTTAATTATATTGGAGCAGCAATACACAAATTTATTCAATGAAGACTCTTCTGAGTAACAAGCTTTAACACTGTGATAAGCAGCTGGGTATAGTGGCACACAACTGTAATCCCAGCACTCAGGAGCCTGAGGTAAGAGGATCACCTCTAGTTCAAGGGCAGCCTGAACTACATGCCAAAGACACTGCCTCAAAAGCCAAAACAAAATGAAACAAAATTCTGATGATTGCATTCCTGGAAAGGCTCTTTCATCCTGGTAGTCTCCTAATCTCACTTCTGAAAAGTGCCAGGAGCACACTACTAACAGATAATAACCGAAGACTGGAAACAAATCCAATTAGGAATGCAACTGCTCTTAACATGTCAAGGTGACCAGAAGCTTTGCCTCAACCTAGGCCAGTGGTCATGAACCTATGGAGAACCCACATCACAGCATGCTGTTTGTAGCAGTGAAAGCTCTAAAAGATTTGCCCTCACTAACCTAGGTGGTTAGTTGGGAAGTATTAGGTATTTAGGATGTAGGCACAGGGGTAGCAAATTCACTGCAAGGAGTGTCTGGGTCTCAAGCACAGTCCCTAAAGCCACACCACCTCCTTACCCAGTTTTATGTACAGCAACTCCTAGCAGGGAAAATAAAATGTATCCACGATCGTCAGCTGGCACAGCTGGAACAGAGGAGAAGCTGAGAGATTGAAACAGAAGGATATACAGGGTAAAGGAACAGGGCAGATTCTTAGAAGAACTGTAATAAGGAGCCACCCTCTGCTGGGCAGAGCCAGGGATAAGAAACAGCGCCTCACAGAACTAAAAACAGGGAGACAGAGATAATTCTTTTTTTTTTTTTTCTTTATTAGTACCAGGGATCGAACTCACGACTGCCTGCTTGCAAGGCAGGTGCTTATGCCACTGAGCTAAATCCCCAGTCCCGACAGAGATAATTCTTCAGGGAGCCCAGGAGATCCTGGCCACTTTAAACAGGCTCTCACAATGCCCAGTGAATTCTTCGTGGAAGCAGAAAGGAGACAGAGTGGTTTTTTTCAACACAGTTTCCAATGCACTCTATACAAAGAGAACCCCAACCAAGAAACATGCCAGCCGAGGGCCAGAGCCAGCAGAGTACAGTACACCCCTTTCCACTCAACCCAGATCCAGGGTGCTGGAGGTCACAGCTATCACTTACTTTTTGGGTGGTAAGAGACGTTCACAGCGTGGGCATCATGAACAGGGCTGGAGTCAAAAAGTAGTAAGAATCTGATTCTCCTCTGTGTTGTCTCCCGTCAAGGTTGGCTGTAGACGGTGTTGACTCCACCTGTAACCGCCTTACTGGGAAGGAAAGGGGAGATGTCAATGGATGGCAACAATGAAAAAAACAACTGGTGTGTACAAGTCTAATCAGGTTTCAAAGCCAAACAAACTCATCCCTCAGGGAAGCTTACTCATCAAGGTCCTGGGGTGCTGGGCTGGCATGGGAGGAAATGCTGCAGGAAAGACACAACACACAGGTGTGGGGCCAGGCCTGGGTGTGCACAAACACGTGTTCAGCCCCGCTGGTTAAGCCTTACAGAAGTTCCCTAGAGGGGATCTGGTAAAAGCATATCCAGAGAGGGAGGGGAAGGCAGCACAAGCACTGGTGCTGAGGACCAACTACCAACTAGAGATGGGAGGAGTGGGGTGAGGGAGAGAAATGTAGCTCATTAAAAGCCAACTACCCCAGCTGCTGTAAATATCTCCATTCTCAACTCTCAAGGGCTAAAGAGAAGCTTGGACTACTTGGAAGGTTTACACACTGCTAGTCGAGTGGCCAAACGAGGAACTGAGACCTCCCACCTCTCTCACTTGAAAGCTCAGCCTAGCTGCCCCTCTTTGGCGACAGGAAGGGAGAAATCAGAGCCCTTTCCTTTCTGGGAGGAGGGAGACAGAGCGCTGAAAATTTAAACAATTGGGAGCAAAAATGGATTTCAAAACCGGAGGACGGCCGAGCATGGTGGCTCACGCCTGTAATACCAGCACTCAGGAGGCTGAGGCAGGAGGATTGTCGCGAGTTCGAGACCAACCTACGCTACAAAGTGAGCTCAAGGCCAGCCTGAACTGCATAGTGAGACCCTGTCTCAAAAAAGACAAAAAAAAAAAAAAAAAAAGGAGGACAAGTGTCTGGCGTCCTGCATCCGAGCAGCCATTTCTTTAGCATTTTTGTGCGTGTGTGTGTGCGCGCGCGCACGCTAGGCGCTGGGGTTAGAGATAAGAACAGTCTTTGCCCTCCACTGCATTACAGTGCTACGAGAAATCATACAAGTAAATAAGCCGCTGTACCAAACGCCCTAAGTAGGGGAGGGCGGGGCAGGGCGCTCCAGCAGCGAACGGGCGCATCTGCCTGAGTAAATGCTGGCAAGAGAAGGGGACTGAGGGAAAAACAGGAAAGGAGCAGCCGCGGAATGTGGTCGTTAAGACTGTGAAGGGGTGCGATGGGAGCTCCAGAGGACCCCACGCCCCAGCCCAGGGTCCTGCGTCCCGCCCCTCCTCTCAGAGCCGCGAAGAGCCGGACTTCCAGGCCAGAGCGTGGGGACCCTCCTATGACCTGATCATTAGCCCTGAGAGTCCCACCGGCCCACCACCCCGGGCTGGGCAGCTCAGGGATCTCCGTGCCGGGACTGGCGAGTCCCACTATTCCAGCAAGCTAGCCCTCTCACCTTCACCTTCCCGGCCTCGCGGCGGCCATCACAACCATGATGTCACCAGCGAGCGCCACCCCAAAGAGAGGCGAGAGCAGGGCGGGGCGCTCACGTCATCATCCGTCGACCGCTTCCCTCTCGGCCTAGACGAGCCAGTGGACTCCGAGCTCAGTCGTTTGGAATTTACTACTCCTTATGTCGCAGTGATTTCAGGGTTCTGCCCTTTGAAAGACGCTGTAGCGTGCAATTTTACCACTGGCTTGTCCCAAGCGGATGTGGTAAGAGCCTCGGGACTTCCGCTGCACTATGGGAGATGTAGTTTCCGTGGGCGCGGGCTACAGCCGGCAGGGCGGGGCGGGGCGGGGCGGGGCCTCCAGCTGTCAAGGGACAAGAAAAAAAACAAGGGTACAGATTTCAGGTCCCCCGTCTGGCTTATTGCCCCAGAATCGGTCAGCCCTGACTTGAATCTTAGGATGTTTTTTGAGAAGCGCCCTCAGGAGGACCAGCGTTGGGGGCAGTGACTCATCTAGGGAAACAGGCAGGCTGGGGCTGGCTGCCCTTCAGTTGCCTTTGTAGAAATCAGAACAGCAGCAGCGTACCAGGCTCAGAGAGTGACTGCCCAAGGTCCAGCGACAGTCAACTGGGACTCTCATTATGAGCCAAGCACCAAGAGACAGCAGTAGACAGTTTCAGCAGGGAAACTCCTAGCCTGGACTGGTATACCAGTCACTGCTGAGTGGCTACTGAGTCCCCACAGTGCAGTAGGTGCAAACTGAGACATGCCCCAAGACTTGGTGTGTAAAAGATTATAATTTTGAATACGTTGGGTTAAATAATACAATTACTTAAATTTGCCCCTGGTTTCTTTTTACTTCTAAAATCGTGGCTAGGCCTGTAGTCCCATTCCTCAGAGAGGCTAAGACAGGAGCAATGCAAGTTCAAACCCAGCTGGGAATTTAGAAAGGTCCTATCTGCAACGGCCTGGGGACGTAGCTCAGTGTGAAGGGTCTGGGATCAATCCTCAGTAGTGCAAACACAAACAAACAAAAACGTAGCTACTAGAAAATTTTAAATCGCATTCACATTTGTGGCCCATATTGTGTTTCTGTTGAGCAGCACTGGCTAGGCAGAATACAAAATACAATGCTTTTCCACTTAAGAAACAAAGAGTTCAATACATGATATATTTATAATGATTTCTGAGGTCTCAAAGCTAAGGCAGTCTTATGCAGCATAATGACGTTATGCACATCTCTCCTGATCCCCAGCCACCGGCTGTCTAGCTCCAAACAAAGCACACAGCATTGCCAGCTGCTGTGATACTAGGAAAGAAAGTGTTCTTTTTTCTTTAATTTTTGAAACAGAGTTTCACACTGCAGTTCAGGCTGGCTTTGAACTCGCTTTGTAGCTCACAATGGCCTTGAACTTGAAGTGATCGTCTTGCCTCAGCCTCCTGAATACTGAGATTATAGATGTGCACCACTAAACCCAGCCTAAAAGGAAATGTTCTTTAAAGACCCTATGGTTTGGGTTGGGACCTGGTTTAAATTAAGAATTTACCCTTTGGGCCCACTGTGGTGGAGCATACCCCAGCAATTGGGAGGTTGAGGCAGGAGGATCACAAGTTTGAGCCCAGTTTTAGCAATTTAGTGAAATCTTGCCTCAAAAAAACTGGAGACATAGCTCAGTGAGATAGACCCTGAGTTTAATCCCCAATACTACAAAAAATATCTTTTGTAAGTTTCTGTAATTTTGGTAATACTGACCATCTAAGACAGGAAGACATTTTGCAATTCCAAAGTAATAAGTAAAATGTTAATAAGCAGTGCTGATAATATCCTACTGAAACGCAGGAGTAACTCAGTATTTCACTGAATTGCTCAGGCAGGATTTTTTTTTTAATTTTTTTTTCTGGAAAGAGGGTCTCATTATACAGCCTGGGCTGGCCTTGAACTCACAGCAATCCTCCTGCCTCAGCCTCTGGAGTGCTGGGAGTACAGGCTTATGCCACCATGCCCAGCTCACCCTTGTCTTGACAGCATTCTTTCATGAAGGGCACAAAGAACCAAGGACCAAAGGGGTGAGGGGTTGATTCCGTGCTGCACTAGGACCCAGCTTCCCAGGAACAGCCCTGTCCCAAATGCACGGCAAAATCTAGCCAGAGAGCCTCAAGAGGAGAATCAGTACCCCTGAGCCTTTCCTGGGAAGTGGCTCAGAAGCAGCGTTCTCTCCCTCACCACTCTCAGGGTGTCTGTCTGTTCTGAGAGTCTGACTGGACAGTGGGGCCACACCCAGGCCATACCTGTAGGTGTGTCCAGACCTCTGTCTGAGATGTGGCATCGAGTGGAACGTCAAGGACCAGCTGTCTCAGAGTGTCGCTGATGGTTTTCTCCTTAATCTCCTGCCTCCCTCTCATCTGTCAGGAACCATGAATTCCGTTTCCTTTCTCTGATGGAATCTTGCCCAAGTCAGGTAGAAGCCTAAAGGATCTCCCCAAATGCCTCCTATCATTTTTTCCTCTTCCCTAAACCTCCCTCCAAGCATTGGCTCAGGCTTCACTCATGAATTCCATTTATCATCAGAAAAAGGTGTTAAAAACAGCCCCAGGTTGGGGTGTGGCTCAGTGGCAGAGCATGTGGCTGGCATGCTTAGGGTCCTGGAGTCAATCAATCCCCAAGTCCCCAGCAAATAAACTTTTCTCTCTCTCTCTCTCTCTCTCTCTCTCTCTCTCTCTGTCTCTCTCTCTCTCTCTCTCTCTCTCTCTCTCTCTCTCTGTCTCTCTCTCTCTCTCTCTCTCTCTCTCTCTCTCTCTCACACACACACACACACACACACACACACACACTCACACACGCATGCACAGATCAGCTCAAGAACCCTGTTATGCTTTAGCTCTGGAATGTCCCCCAGAAGTCTGTGCTCAGGGGTGGAACTTATGGGAGTGGACTGGATCACAGGCTCCTCTACTCTTCAGTGGATGACTCACTGATGAATTTATGGATATATACTGTTAAAAGGAGGGGTGTGGTTGGAACTGAAGCTGACTGCAGGTGAGTCCTCCTTTCTCGCTCTGCTTCTTGGCTGCCATGAGCTGAGCAGCCTCCTCCACCACTCACATCTACCACACACTCCTTCTGCTTTGGAACCAGCTGACCACGGCCTGAACCCACTGGACACTGACTCAAATGAACTTCTCTTTAAGTTGAGTGTCAAGTAATTCATCGCAGTGACAAATATAAATATCCAAGAAAAAGACTGGCCGTGGTGGCTTGTGGAGAGGAGACCTGCGCAGTCTGTAGTAAGTGTGACAAAGATTTATGCTAGTTTAATTTATCACGAGCCAATTTTGAAAAACAAAACAATTAAAAATCTTTAGAAGCCATACATCCAGCGATCAGATGACCCCAGCAGCCTCCTGAGTCACACACAAACTCTCCGTAGCCCTAGGCAATGTGCCGCCTACACGTTCCTAAACTGCAAGCTCACTCCCAAGCTTCACAGTAATGACATTCAGAGGCGTGGCCTTTGAGAAGACGATAAATGGACCCTGAAGGTGAGATGGCAGGAGAGGAAACACAGGTAAGCCAGCTGGCTCCCTCCGTTCACCGTGTGGTACCAGCCACAATATAAAGGTATGGGAAGAAGGCTTTCACTAGACTTTAACACCGAACACTTGGATTTCCCTGCCTCCATGACATGAGCTCAACAGACCTCTCTTCTGCATAAATTACCCAGCTTGTGCTATTCCCTTATAGCAACTGAAAATGGACTAAGACACCTGGGGAAATGGGCTTTACATTCTGACCCATCCACTCCAGCCCTGCTGCATCCTCTAGGCCTCAAAGGTGTCTCTGCCTGTTGGAAACCTGGCCGGTCTGAGACCCAGCCTATGTGGCACTGGGTTTTCTCAGATTCAGTAGCTTCCAGGCTGGATGATTCCTTTCCGGTAGCGGTGGACAGCTGCCCTGTGCACTGCACCATGCTCAGGACCATCCCCTGCCTCTACCTGCCAGATGCCAGCAGCATCCCCCTCCCCAGTGGTAACAACCTAAACTGCCTTCTGACCTGGCAAAGATCCCCTGGAGGTCGAGATCCTTCTCAGTTCAGAATATCCAGCTATGCCTGACAACTGGTCCCTGCTGCTCCTCTCCCACGTTTCTTATGTCACTTTGACATTGATCAGAGGTCACAGTGCACCCTATTTAGTTCTTTCCATCCCTGCCCCTCCCCACACTACTGGCTACCAGGAGCTGGGGCACAGGGATCTGACTGCTGCCATTGCTGAAACCACATTCAAACTCCTGTTCCTACCACTTACTTGCTGTGTTCTTAGATCAGTGACTTCGCCTTTCTGAGCCTGTTTCCCTACGCGTAAAAAGGAAATAGCCTCTACTCTGAGCACTGTGTGCCAAACGCCTGACATGGTCACTGCACAGCCTGCAAGAGGTGGACAGTCAGAGGCTCTCAGGACCAGCAAATACCCGAGGGCACAGCCCAGGCTGCCAGCACACCGGTTCTTTCCATCAATGCAGGCCAAATGGTTCAGGGGCTCCAGAGCCCAGCTACCACCTGACGCTGGTCTGGACAGAATTGTGCCCCGGGCAGCCGGGATCTGGCTCACAGCAAGGGTTTCCAGAATAAACAAATGCCACAGAGGTCACATAGCTCGGGGTTTGGGCACCAGGACATCAGTGCTGCTGCTGCGGCTGCTTCTGTTTTTCTGGTTTTTTTTTTTTTTTTGCTTTGAGCTCATTTTGTAGCCCAGGTTGGCCTCAAACTTGCAATGATCCTCCTGCCTCAGCCTCCCTGAGGCCTAGGATTACAGGCATGGACCCAGCACATCCGTTTCTTAACCACCCCCAACCATCACTTGCTGGACACATGCACACCCGCCAGCCCAAAGCACCCTCCACTCTGTGGTCTGAACACCTTTAATAGAACTCTCCTGTTTCTGACGGTCCCTCTCCCCAGGGGCCTTGGGACAGAATGATCCAGTGCAGTGTGGCCGTGTTGTTTTCTTCCCCCAAGCTGCAGCAGTGATGCCGTCACTGTCCTCTCAGAGGTTGGAGTCACTGTCTCCAGGGACAAGTTTGTGCTCAACACGGAGCCTGAGAGGGGCTTCGGCAGCCCAGGGCTCAGGGTGGAAACCTGCACCTGATCAGGTCTCTGTGTTGCCCCAAAGCTGGAGGCAGAACCCCAAGGGGTTGCCGCT